CCGGCAACGCAAACGCAAAAAGGCGAGACACACTCACGGTTTGATCAAAAAATTCCACCATTTCTTTTTTATTTTTATTTTAACAGCTTCTGGCTGCAAAGCGAATCAGAAAGCTGAAAATATCATCGGTCTAGCTTCAGTCTCTGAGCAGCTCCGGTCTCTTGGCTGTCCAGATGTTTGTTTGCCTCCCAACAAACATCAGGGAAGGTCCCACTTTTGGCACATTCAAAAAGCACCTTAAACTGTTTCTCAAAAGTTCCCAGACATGCGATCACTAATTTTAATTTTGTAATGTCATCGTCTGAACGTGTGTTTGGACTGATTTTGTATTTTGTGATTTTGTGTTGTTTGGTCTTCCTGCCTCAGGACGACAGATGTAAACTAGCAACTATGCTATAATCTGGCTAATTTACAATCTGTATGAGATTGTTCATTAATGTGCACTGTCCTGATTGAAAAAATAAAAAAAAATAAAGAAATTCCACCATTTCTTTTGAACTTTACCAGCTTCTGGCTGCAAAGCGAATCAGAAAGCTGAATATCTCTTCGGTTTAGCTTCAGTCTCTGAGGGGCTCCGGTCTGTTGGCTGTCCAGATGTTTGTTTTATTTCCTGGCTTTTGCGTTTCAGAGCTGCCCCGCTGCAGTGGAGCCCCCTAGTGGAGCCATCCAGCCCTGCCACATCAGAGAGGCCGTGAGGAGATACAACTACCGGCACACAGTACGTATCCATACATCCCAGTTTAACTCATTGGCTGCCAAACACGTCTAGAGACGTCTTTTATGTTTTTCAACGAGAGTGGCTGGGGGACGATCTGCTAAAGCTTGTCCGTAAATATCAGGCTTCTAGACAGAGTATGTAGTAACAAATTGACCCTCTAGGTAGCAGTGCCACTTTTGATGGGAGATGAGCATAGACTGTAGGCAAATAAGAAAAAGGTAACGGTTCTATGAGAGAACATGTCGCCGGTGAGACGCAAGTCGAGGAAGAACGGAATAAGGTAGAAACAAAACATTTTTCCTGATG